AAAATATTTGTGTAGTGTACATACTTAGGGAAAGTATTGTCTAAGACGAGTTATTGGCAATATATATTTAGTCAGTTTAAGTAAATTATTCATTTACTGTAAACATTAATTTGAATAAATTATTGGACTTCGTTTTGTACTGAGGTAAATTTGCAGACGGTCCCTAAAGCAGCCTAGGCGAATATGCAGCGAATATCAAACCTAAAACTACCTTGGTTTTCAATATATATTTAGTCAGTTTAAGTAAATTATTCATTTACTGTAAACATTAATTTGAATAAATTATTGGACTTCGTTTTGTACTGAGGTAAATTTGCAGACGGTCCCTAAAGCAGCCTAGGCGAATATGCAGCGAATATCAAACCTAAAACTACCGCGCTTGGTTTTCTATGGGAGAATAAAAATGGTTTGGTGAAACTTTGTGGGTTGTGGGTTCATATTCTGGGCTCATATGCTTAAATGTACATAGTATACAGTAATATATTTTATTAATTAGATGCCAAATTTAATAATTTATTATCACTGTCTTGAGGCAATAAAACACGTTAAGTGTTTTCTTTATGGGAAATGTTTAACGTGCAGTTTTGCGCGTTCCGTAACTTGCGTTTATATCCTCATCTGCCTGTATATAGTTTGCATCATCAGCAAGATCTGAATTTGGTCTTTTAATAGCTGTCATTGCGTTTTCTTTAACAGATTTCTGAGGGAAACAGCGTGAAACCTTGAGCGTTCGTTCATATTCTACATCTGCTTAACTGTCGATATAGTTCGCATAATCATCAATGAAGTGTATTCTGAAGATGTTGAATTAAACATACACACAGCAGCTTTTCCACGTTTATACTGGCCCCGAAAATCAAAACTTCTACTTAGCGCTTGCTCCATTTCTGCAGATCACTTTTTGTGAATGAATGACTTAATCCACCTGTTGCTTTGGTCTTCATCAACAGCCGCTTGCGCCACCTGCTGGTGAGCGACTGACAGCAGCTGGAGATCATGCATCGGTGCTCTACTGCTATTCCTGCAGCTCCCGGATGTGCACTGACGAATTTTCTGCCGAATTTTAACCACTGAATTTGTGGAAGCAAATTTGGAAAGTGAAATACAATGGACCGAAATTTGCCTGTCGAATATTATACATCGTATTTTTAAACAGATTGAATATTTTGGAATTGAATTCTGGAGGGTGAATATGAATGATTGGATTTTTAATTATGAAAATGTGTGTGAAATATTTTGAATTGAAATATTCACAGCTTAAATAATCAACTATGTTAAATTTCAGGACCTAAAAATGCAAGCCCTGGTAATACAAGGCATTAAAATGCAAGCACTGCTAATGCAATGCATTATTTTTTCAATTAGTGCTATTCAACATGCTAAAATATTGCCATTTTAACAGTGTAAATAGAATCTACAGCTATTTGCACTTAGTGCAAACAGCCGCTGCCAAAAAGTTTATATATGTCAGTCTGAAAACACAAAGAAAAATAGCATGACTGGGCCACTTGGTGGTGCTATAATGAATTAAAATATAAAAATTGGCTGTAACTACAGCCAACTATACTGATTGACTACAAAATTGCCATGCAGTGTATTAATCATATTTGCCATGAGTTTCATAGACCATAATGACATTTGTGTATCTTGAGAAACAAGATGTTATTTTCATTGCAAGATGTCAAAAATGATCTGAGGCGTTATCTCTGTAAGGTGCTTTGGCATACTGACATGAAACTTAATATCTGCAATAGTAATCTTCCCCTAACAACGTTGCATCAATTGCATCGCCAAAATTATGTTCAGGTGACATTTCTGCCATTAGTGTGCCAGAACCCTGGTTTTGCACAGATTTTTTTTTTCCTTTTTTGCCATAAAAGTGAATGGACATCAGAGACGTCTTGCAGACCCCAAACTTGGATGGTTCCAAATACGCACTTCTACTGAGGTGCACAGACACCATCTGTCTGACACTAGATGCCATGTCATGTCAAGGATGTCATGGCATGAAGAATTGCTTCTATCATTTACTTACCTTTTTCTCCTAAGGGGTTCTCGGGTGATGCCACCATAACAGGCTTCTCAGTCAGACCTGTATGAATGTTGAGTAAAATCAGACACATTCCCAACAAGAGAAAAGAAAGAAAGAAAAAAAAAAACTTCTCTCAAGGACAAAGGTTACGCCTATTTCTGCAATGGAACTATACAAAAAGTACCATAATAAATTAAAGTATTGCTATCTATCATACAGCATTACTTTAAATAAAAAGTCTATTAATCTTGGGTTGTTAAGAATACAAATAAACTCATCTTATCAACGCACACACAAATGAGTAAACCTGACCATGTATTAATCAGACCAAATAACATTTAAATAAGGGGAAAAAAAAAAATAT